CCCCCACCCCGTGTGGGCGCATCCTACCGGGCTCAGGAGGAGTTTCCCTTTGGGAGTTGGTGATGGGGAGGAGCACCAGGCCCTTGGGATGCCGGTCCCTCAGGTGGTCCTTACCTGATCACACAGGTGTGCATACACACAGAAAACCCACCCGACAGACCCTCCGGTGCCATGGCATCCACCTTGGCTAAATTCCCTCCCTGCCCTAAAATTCTCCTTCTGAAGGCGCTGGTGAAGGTGGAGTCTCCCTGGGCTTGGCCAGCACTGCCACCTGGTGGAGAGAAAGGCACTGACTGTCCCCATACCTGAAGGGACACAGTGGGCCACAAAGGCGGCCGGCCAGCCCACTTTGTGCCAGTTGAAAAACCAGCCTCTACCTCAGAGCAAAGCCTGTCCAGGAAGGGACATGCCTTTGTCCTTGGAAAGACCCACAGAGCACTCCTAGGCACACACCCACCCTGCTAAGTTGTTTCTCTACAAATAACAGGAGAGATCTGCTGCCCCAGGTGTCCCTGACTCAGTCAGGCTAGGTGGGGAGCCATAGCCACCCCCTAGCAGCCACCAATCAGCATGAGACAGGGAAATACCTGGGATGCCAGATGACCCCCCAGTAGTTTATGGTGGTTGATAACGTGTTGGGAAACCCTGTAGTTCAGCACGTACACCCCTCTTGGCTTAAACCAATCAGTTCAAACGAATACCCCTTTTGTACTGACCAATCACCCCTCTCCAACTTGTTCCCGCCAGTGAATGTGCTAATCATGTTTTAGAGTTGTTGTTTGATTTTCCCGCGGTGTGTGATGATTTGCTAAGAGAGGCTATGATGTATGTGGGGGTCCCTGCCTTCTCCAAAGAATGTATAAAACTGCTGCAAACCCTGGGCTCGGGGCCTCTCAGTGTCACCAGTTGCTGTGTGCATGGAGGACCGAGCTAGCTCGCAATAAACACCTCTTTGCTGCTTACATCGATCTTGGGTCTCTGGTGGGCCTTTGGGGGTCCCGAATTCGAGCATAACACAGTGTCCCCGGACACTCAGTCTTGGTCACCCAGTCTTTTTTTTTTTTTTTTGTCTTTTAGCCACTCCATGCAGGCCATGTTGTACCTGCTACCAGAGAGGCAAACAGGCCTGGGACACTAGGGGAACCATGGCAGGTTATGTCCAGGGATTAGGCAAAGGTTTATGAAGGAACAGATATTTAAAATCAAGCCCTTACAGGAGGATCACAAAAGTAAGTTGGAGGTAGGCAGTCCTCCAGGGTGGCAGTGACAGCTCTGTGGTCCAGCGTCCCAGGCTCTCCTCTTATCTGTCCCACCATTCTACCACTGGCTTCCATACTCTGGTCACTTTGTGGCCCAGAAGGGCTGCTGGAGCTCTGGCTGGCACATCAGAGTTCCATGAAACAAAGCAGCAGCAAGGCCTCAAAGGGCATTCCTTCCACTAAGCAGCTGTCTGACAAGCCGACTGACTGCAGGGCTGGGCACACTTTCCTTCACAGGTCATTGGCCTGAACTCTGTCACAGCCACAACTAGCTGCAAGTGGATCTGAAAACCAGTATTTATCCAGCTGAGGGACTTGCTGCTCCTCCCACA